CACTGAATTTATTCAATTCAAATCCATTGAAGTGTTATTGAGTCTTGAAGTCAAAAATAATGAATTGTTTGTTACAACCCCTGATGATATTTCTGGTTGTGATGAGAAATACATACCAAGATTGGTCAATATGTACTATTACTTGAAAGAGAAATTAAAAGTTGAATCAAAAATGATTCTAAAATACTCACCAGGTGAAATAATGATAAATTCTCAGAATGGGAGACAACAGGACAAAGGGAAAGGGAAGGGTTTTGAGAGAAATGCAATTGATTATATTACAGAAGATCTAACATGTGCTATTGTCTGTGAAGCAGTAGGAGACTTTTATCAACTAAATTGTCAACATATTATTAGCTCAAAGGCTCTTTTGTCATTAAACAACCTAGAGTGCCCTTATTGCAGAACTGAAATTCGAAAGGAGAAAGTGTATTATATGCCACAACAAACAATATATAACAATGTTCAACATTATATTACAGACACTGATGATCAAGACGTTTATGATGCTAATACTAATACTAATGCTGCTGGAAATTATGCAGAGACAAAAATATTTGATGAGCATGATGACCTTAAAAAACAAAAAGGAAAGAACAGAAGAAGAAAGTATGGTTCTGGATCCACATGGAATTCAATTTGGAAGTCACTAACAGCACCAAGTATAAGCAAATCATTTCAAAAAGCTAAAACTGCATATAAAAACAATGAGTTGGAAAAGACTTTGAACATTTTTACACAAATATTGCAAGCTGATCCCACGAATTATGTAGCACTGTGTAATAGAGCAAAGATCAAGTTGGATATGAAACACTTTGGAAAAGCTCTGTTTGATATTGAGACAGCAATTGAAGTAAACAAGATTTATAATTATGCTTGGTATTTAAGTTTAGTGGCACATGTAGGTCTGGAGAATAAGAAAAAAGCTGAACAAGGTATTGGGCATATTAATGATGTGTATATGCAAGAAAAGGCATTTGATGTTATTAAGGAATATGTAAACAAACTTGAGCACTTTGATGTGGAATGGTTTAAAACTTTTGTAGATAGCTGTTCTTACAAAGCAATGTATGAGTTAGATAATATCAATAAATGGCAATCACTGTGTAACTATCAGTATGGAACAGATGATTACACCAGATGGTACAATGCTGCTGTAACTTGGTATAATGAGTATAACAATACTCCACTTAATCACACGCGTATGAACGCGTTTTATGAAAAAGTATACTATATGCACAAAAGTAAGGGATTAGACTTGATTGCGTAAATTTATATTATTATACATACTGAATTACTTTATATTTATTATTATTTTAGGTCATCTGAAAGCACATTTTGCATTTGAAAGTCACATTGAAGATAGTAATAGATATAATAGGTAAGTAATTTTTAATAATACCTATTGTTATAAAAATATTGTTACTAATGTTTATTATTTAATAGTAGTGAGAGATATTTGTATCTTTATGCAAATAATAAAGTAAGTGGTTAATTATCAATACAATATGAATAGTCTAACGCTTTGTACAATGTTGTGAATATTGATCAATAAACGATTGTATATTAGGTAACAATACCCATATTCCAAGTACCTCCAAATAAATACAAACTCAGTATTTTGTTGTGGAACAGGTGGGAGTCAACGGCAATTACAATGATGGTAAGTATCGAAATATGTATTGTTTAATCTTAATTGTATAATAATAATGAGTATGAACATTTGGTTTGTAGACAACAATAAAAACATCAACTGAAGAAATACAATATGAGATGGACATTCAATATAAGTACTACTGTGATGAATACATTTTACCATGCATGATTAACGTTTTGTCTGAAGATGACATTATTATAGAATTTACTATCAGTTGTGTAGCAGTAAGTATGGTTTATTATTCATTGACATAGTGTAAAATGTATTCAATTAATCTAACTTTAGCTCTTTTTAAGCCGTTTATACATCTTTATTGGGTTTGTTTATATTCGGAAGAAAAGTTAGATGTTATGGAACGTAACTTGAAAATTGAAACTTTTCCAACTGGTGTAAAAAGGATTGATTATATGCAATATCGTTATCTTGATGTAAAACATTCCAACATATTCGACTAACGCGCGCGAACGTTGTTGATAAGCGAGCATATTCTCCTATATTATACTGTGTACGTCCTTACCGCGTATTATAGAGTAATACTACGTATGTATAAGCCAGTCTGGCATCTTTTCAATAAACACGTAAACTAAGAAGTATTCTTTTGCGATGGTATATAACATATTTCGAGATTTATGCATTATTTAGATCAAGCAAAGCGCTTGCTTTGTCCCAAGTGCGATTAATGTCAAACCCAAAAGTAAAATTGTTCTTTTTTTGCTTGTAAACATTTATCATGTTGTAATTAATTTATAACTAACATTCAACGTTTTTATGCGATTTACAATGACTTGTACACATGACGAATGCAATGTTTTGTGGAAGTAGATTAGTCATGCCACAAAAAAGTGGCAGTCCCGTGACTTCTGAATAATCTCTGATGCAAAAACTTTCCGGGATCGCTTCATTTGTGCTACAACCTCAAATTTTGGGGGTATTGTCTCTATTTGGGAAGGTATAAACAAATGGAGGGACTAATAAACAAATGAACTCTCTTATGCAACACTGAAAGACAATCTTTCACTCCTTTCTCTGTCCTTCCCAAATTTTACTGCGCCATAATCCAAACCTTCGCTGAAAGATAGTCTTTTAACTAGTAGAGAAACAGCAAAACAAAGGGCAGAAATGGCCTCTACAGCCCAACCTGTACCTAAAAAAGTCTTTTGTATGCTAAAAAGGCTAAAAACCCACCGAGAAGGCATACTTTGAGTCAACAAAGTGTGTGCTCAAAAATCTCCCCTTTCTGCCCACAAAGCAGATACCTAACACTAACGAAAAGTTCTCTTTTTTCGTTATTGCTGTTTTCAAAATGGTGCAATCATCACAAAATAAAAAAAAATTTTGAAAATGATTATAAAAACGTGACTACAGTCTACCAATAGTAATAGAATTTAAGGAGAAAAGTGTTACCAATAAATAGATGTGTTAAGAGAATGGCTCCTTACAATCTCGGTGCATGCCATATGTTGATGACAATTATCAGAAATTCCTGGAGGAGTATAAATTGCTGCAAGTGTCACAAAAAAAGAAAGAAATGACAATCATCATGACACTAAAGTCACTAAAGCATAAGGACATGTCAGATGATGAGGTACTATATATTTAATATTATGTATTAATGATTGGCATTACATGTATGTGATAATAATGATTCTTTCCCCTTAGGCATCTGCAAGTACAGATGCAAGTGAAGATGAAGGAAGGCGGAGCGTCAGAAGAAAAAGAAACGAAAAAGAAAATGAAACATTTGGGCCTTGACGAGGCGAGGCAACCGAGGAGAAGGCAGCAAAGATAAATGAAATAAGGAATCGATGTAATTGAACGAGTAATGATATGAATATTGAGACAGCAGAAACTGTTGACAGTGGCAGTACAAGTTGGAGGGGTGTAACGAGGCGTATTTGGGGCAGATTGAAGTGATTGTGAGATTAGTTGTTTAATTGATGTTTCTTTTTTTTTAGACCGAACGAAAGATTGGGTGTGTAGGTGGAGTATCTAAATCCACTACTCCCTGTGTCTGTGAATAACAGATAATGGCATGAGAATGATCGAAATAAAGAAGAAAAAAAAATGTTGCTTTTTGATATATGCCCAGTCGTAGGCCCATACTGTTAATGCGCTGCTGTGAGCTTGAGATGACCATTTTCGTCAATTAGGCACGGGTGACCATGTTTACTGTATCAGGTCAATGAAAAGGAGATGTAAGATGGTAATAGAAAACAACGGTGAAAGAATAATTTATGTCAATAAAACTTTAGATTATGGGCTTTATTCTAATATATATTTTTGTTAAGTTTATGCAGTAGTTTTTGAGCAATAAGACATTTCAATCAACGGCTTCTTTTTCTATTTTTTAATCCTATTTTGTTCTTCGAATTATAGTTGCAGTTAACTATTAATTACCGAACTCGTAACCTGATGTATTTTTTTTATTTACTTATTATTCATAGTTTAGTCAAAAGTTGAAGTCATAAACTTATATAATTCACTCTATTCATTATACCATTTCGTTGTTTGATGGTTGGTATTTTATTGCAACCAACTGTCAACTTTCCTCTTATTGTGGAATTCCTTGGTTCACAGTAATTTTGCTACATACAATACAATTGCTGTGAGAAATCGAATTAGCGCTATCTGGTGACCTGGCACATAAATTATAGATTGAACAAGCCAAACAGTATAGCACCATAATAGCGACTAGTCCAACTATAACAATTACAACTTTCATAGACGGATTTAGGTTTGCGGTATTTTGTAGCAGGTCTGATACAGCCGCTGATGTCGGGTCGTTCGAAGTGCTTGAACTGTCCAAGTTAACTCACATGTCTGGTGTTTTTTGTGGAGTAGAGCTGCTTATTATACAATGAAATAATGATGTATCAAGCCAAAATGACGATAGTTAATGACGATGAATACTGTCATGAAATTATAAAAGAAGAGCACGCACGCTGCATCCCATAGTGTATTTAGCTTACCATTCTCTATAAAAACAGTTATAACCTGAAGTTTCAAACGGCGACGCATAGATTCGAATAAAATGGGCAATAATTGAAAGAATTTTTGTTATTAGACTACCAATGGGTGCCATTTTTTTTAGGATGCTTGAGGAGAACGCTATAACTAAGCTTTAAGTAGGAAACCATCTATTTATAGCATTTGTCATTCACAGCAGTCTCCTCATAATAAATAGTCCCCATCCTGCTTATTGATGTAAGCGTCATGCCCTTTAGATATAATTGAGTAATAATTGAGTAATAAATTCCCTTTTGAGCAGACGATGAGAATGAATGGTGACATGACACAACGATGCAATACCGTAAGACACAGTACATATACCTTAAATTAGAACACTAAATTAGTGGAAAGTTCTGCGATTCAAATACAGCAATTACAATACCATTTGCGTCCTGACTCATGATAGTCTATTCACGCATATTTTTAAGTAAGCGCGCGTTATTAGAGAAGAAGGCCTTCCAGTCTTGTAGTAGCACAACATGCGTATGAACCTATGACTTTTAATATATCCTTTTATGAGAAACAGCAAAATTATTATTTGATTAGTAATCAAAATATTACGGATTTTGCATTCCGAACAAGTGGTAATGTAATATACTATTTACAATTGAGAATAACGAACATATGTATTGTGCTTTCTCGACTCACCTATATTGGCCATTCATCAATAGAAGCAAGACTTCTAAATGTTGTATAGAAATTGATTGATAATTTCACGACTTGATACTGTTGTTTGATATGACCAATTATATTGATATTTTGATACGCTTTTTTGTAGCCTTTATGCTTTGTATTTTGTTCGTTTGGGTCGTTTGAGGAGAGTATTTTTCATTAAGACTTACTCTACCGGGTTTCAGCGTTCTTTAACCTGTCGTAGTTTAGCAACCAGTTGAAGCATAGTTTTATCTTTGTCGTTTTTCAAAAGCAGACAGCCCAAACTCTGAAAATTATCTTCGGTAGACATAACATGTTGAATCTCAAGAGAGCAAAGCTCGAATAATAATAAAGAGTAAATTCATTCGTATAATGTGTTGTGTAGTATGCGGGAATTGGGCAACAGTTTTCAAGCGCTGGCTCTATTTATAAAGTTCTTAAAGTTAATTGTTGTACGGCAGACAAGATCACAAGCGCAGTTACACTGCAGATTTGTATTGTTATTCGATGCTCAATGTGAAAAAAGACAAGAAGCCTTGTAATGGTGACATCTAAGGGAGGGTTCGGCTGTTTTTTTGCTGCCGTGTTGATCTTCGAGAGAAATTTTGAGATCTTAAGGTGGGTTGAACACGAGACTGCGTTCGCGTGGGGTTAGAGTATCGATAAAATCAAAGATGGAAAGTTTTTGGGAAATTACAGAGAAAGAGGGACGGGTGTAATTTTGTGTGCTGGCTTGATTGAACGAAAGATAGACATGGTCGATTTGTCCGTCAGTAATAATGAAACGTAGCAGCTGTTCTGTATTTATATAACTAGCGAAATCTGATATAACTGATCACTATGTTACGATTACTGAGAAACATGCTAGCCTGATTAAGGAAATCTTCTTTGCAACAATCAACTTATTTTTTGGATAAGATCGTCCGAAAGCATATTAATATCCAGAATGACGTTAAACCCGAGGTCCTTTTACAAATTGTCCTCAGAGAGCGATTACGGCACACAAAATGAATATAAATGTTGATGCATTATAAGACTATCGACAGATACAGAAAAGAAAGTTTAAAATATAACTGGTATCTGTAGCGAGTAAACTCTCAGTTTGAAATATTGCCTTACATATATTCGGTATGCGGACTTTGAATTGACGAAATGATCTAGTTTTATGCTCTTGTCTGCTATGTCGAGCTAGCAAGAATATAATAAATAGAACCTGTTTGTTTCAACATATGTATGCTAGTTTTCAAAAAGGGTTGTCGATTTGGCATACTATAACTAGTACTGTGGGTAGAAAAATGCAAGAGAAACACCACCAAGAGTTCGACTATGCCTAAATGCGTACTTTTGTTAAACATAAATGGAAATCTTTATAAAAGTTTGATCGTGGTCCTATTGGACAGTGTAACAAAAATCAGGTTATGCAAGATAATGTAAATGCCATCGTTGCACGCAATTGAACAAATACAAGAATAATATTTTTTTTCTTTTCTTTCTTTTTATTAGTAGGCTCATTAAGAGGTTGCCTTGTTATCATAATTTAAAGATCCACCCCCGTATTATTTGTCTCGTGCTTCAGAGCATCCACCAATTGCATCCGCTTTGAAACGTAGATCTTTCCATTTAATTTTTATTTTATTTTACATTTAAAAATGATCGCTGCCAAAATCGCCTTTGAGTTTTTAATAGTTTATACTTATGCTTATGCTTATGCTTATACTTGTGCTTATGCTTAAGCTTACGGACAAAGGTCGTTTAGATAGTATTTGTTTACATCCCGCAGTATTGTTACACTTACAAAAAAATCTCCCAAATGACCAATCTCGCTTACATCTGTTAAATTTGTTGCCTAAAAAAGGTATGTAGTAAAAAGTTCATTACATGGTGAGCTTTTTGTGAGCATCGAAAAAGTAAGTTACAGTGTTGGTGTATTTATAGTTTGCACAAATGTATTTACTTCCAATCACATTATTTCTAGTGGAACGTCTTGTCATTTTGGTCTATACCAGAATGCAAGCTG